TAGACGTGTGCATTTACTGGAAATTATACAGTTTTAAAAATGGAATTTAAAAAAATAGTATTCCACAGAATTATCTCATTATCCCAAAGCATATGATGTAGTAAGAGTCAGATTTTCATCTTCTTTTAGTAAAAAGAATCAAGCAGAGATAAGTAAAAGCAATCTTCTCTGGTATCTCAAAATCAAGAAGAAAAACAGGTCTCCCAACTCTGTTCTATCATCAATCTAACCTTTGTGCTTCAACGACAATGACGCTGAATCTTGAGACTCTTCTGAGAGAGAGAAAAGACAAGAGGGCAGAACCAATCCTAGTTAAATCAACATACTCAACATCTCCAAATGCCATATCCTTATTCTCCAAAAAGAAAATTATTTAAGTAAATTCTATGCCCAATGTTGGGCTCGAACTCAAGACCCTGAGATCAAGAGCCACATATTCTACCAACTGAGATAGCCAGGCACTCCAAGATAAAATTATTTTTATCTAGAAACTGGTTATGAAATAATACAAAGAATGCAAAAGAAGTTCTCGGGTCCATACTCCCTCTAAAAACTATCACGATACGACCTTGTGCTTCATTCTGCAGTTTGTCCATGGGAGTTCTAAGGCACCATATTCTCCTGCCTTAAGTTTTGGCCGTTTACATGTCTAGCGTGAGAAAGTAAAGAGTGGACAGGTTAGGCCTCAACGGACTGAAATGGCTTTTATTTCAGTTATAAAGTTTTGGCATAGGACTAGATCTGAGCAGCCAACTATTTATTTAATAAATAAAGGAACTAAATCCAAAAATAGTTAAGAGACTTGCCCTAAGATTTCACAGCTAAGCAGTGGCAGAGTCAAAGCTGAATCCAGCCTTCCATTCACCATACCACACCTAGACCTCTGCCCAGTTAGAAGCAGCATACTATCTTACCTAAAGTGTTAATTACACTCAGGGGGAAAAATAGTTCATATTATCCAAATTCTCATGCCCAACTGTCTCATGGCACTAATATTCTAATTTATAACCAGAATTACAAATTAATTATCAGAATTATAGCTGTCATCCAAGTTAGAGTCAGTACCTTCTTTTCTCAGCTGTAAAATCCCCTTGGGATTAGTATCAAAGGTTATTTGGTACATAAATAATCAAGGCAAACAGAGAAGGATGGTTTTAAAGAATATATGCATCAAGTTCTTCATAGCATACCATCTTAGTTCACCAAAGACTTTCATACAGTCATTTATCCGATCAGCAAATACTGAACTGCCTACTAGATGTCAGGCACTGTATCAGCCTAAGGAAAACAAAGATATAGATACAAGGGACTTTGGTTTAGGTAAGCAGACAAAAACAGATTATGGTAAGAATTATGACGGGACAGCCAAGGTGCCACTGAAGCCCAGAGAAGCAACATCTACTCTAATCTGGAGGGTCAAAGAAGTCAGACCAGCTTCTTACTCTCCCAAGCAATAACATTTGCTCTAGAAGCTCAGGATTCTCACTCTTGAAATATACTTTTTTAAACATTGGTCTCTTATTGACATAAAAGTCTCCAAAACTTATGTCTGAGACCAAAAACAACAACAACAACAACAACAACAACAACAAAACAGCATTACAATATTATCCTGTTTATGTAAAATTGTGTTACATTCATATACCCGTACGTGCATATATTTTCAAAGGGACATGTAAGGAAGGATATTTACAGAAACTTTAATGATAATCATTCCTGTGGGATAGAATTTCAGATTGCTTCAACTTCTTTAAACTTTCCTGCGTTAATTTTTAAAAATACTCTGTCCCACCCTATAGGAATGCCTGGCTGGCTCAGTCAGTGGAGCATGCAGCTCTTGACCTCAGAGTCAAGAGTTCAAGCCCCAAAATGGGTCGACAGATTACTTAAAATAAATTTAAAAAGAATACTGCTCTAGTTTTTTTTCTGCTGTAACCAAGGTGAGTAGAAGAGGGCAAGCACACAGACCAGAGTTGAATAAACTATCACTGTACTTAGATCAACCTGCCTCCCCTATTCAGAGTATTATTTGTCACACGGGGGACACTAATGCAACACACTTGGTATCTTTTATTTACACTTGTAAGAAGGGCCACTTTTGGGACAGCTTCTGGAGAAACAAGAAAGGTAGATGGGGACCAAAAATAAACAGGCTATAATCGCAGTGCTAAGGTGTTTAGACTTCATTCTGTGGATGACAGAAAAACAGAGAGGTTTTCTAAAGACAGTCTACTCCACTTTTTAACAAGGTATCTGGTAGCAGCTAGAATACATAAACAGGAAATGACATAAAGACAAAGAGATGTGTTGAAAAGTTGTGGCTCTAGGTTTTAAAAAAACCTAGAGAAATGCAAATTTTTATCAGCACTATCTCTGGTGGATGAGAACAGAGGCAGTCTCCTATTTTCAGTGTCATACATTTCTATAATCCTTGCATTTCTTAAAATAAGTGTGTATTATATTTATAACCAGAAAAAATAAGAATGACTTTCACAATAATTCAAATGGGATGCAGGGGAAATGATGAAAGCCTGGATTATAAACTCTATAAGGGCAAGAAACTGATCTATCTTATTTACCACTATGTCCCAAATAACTCATACAGTGCCTAGCATATATTAGGTGCTCGATAAATGTGCCAGAATAAATGAGTGAACCAATGTACATCCTAAAGTTTCAACAAAGAAGAAACATTTCAAAAGTAAAATACACATCTGTTGGTCAACATAAAGAGCAAGAACAGAAAGAAACTGAAGATAACCCAAGTTTTACGGACTAGTTGGCTAAGTGAACAATGAACCATTAATCAAGATAAGTAAAACTAGAGGTGGTATAAGTATACAGGAATGCAAAGAGATCTTGACAAAATGTCAGTGAATTTGGTAGAAGGCACTAAGTTTCAGGAACCAGTAGGGAGTGTAGGCTGAAGATGCAGATTTGGGAGTCATTCATATGAAGCTACATCAGCAATCAGAGCTATCAGAAACCCATTACTGACTTTCATGTTCTTAACAGCAGAACAAGAGAGGCAGATCAAAATAAAATACACCCACTATTCTGGGGCCCTTATACCCTGACTTTTTTTAAGATTTTATTTATTTATTTGAGAGAGAGCGAGCACAAACAAGGGGAGAGGGAGAAACAGACCCCCTGCTGAGCCTGACCTGGGACTCTATCCCAGGACCCTGGGATCATGACCTAAGCCAAAGGCAGATGCCTAACTGAATGAGCCACCCAAGCGCCCCTATACTCTGATTTTTGCCCCACTAATTCTTAAACCTAGATTCTGAATCTGAAATAAAAACACCTTGGGCTTACTTACAGTCTTCATCTCTCATTTGCTTCCTAATAGCATACAAAGGCCCACAGCTGTATTTTTACTATTTGCTACAAAAAAATTCTGGGCTTACAAATCCAGGCCAGATCAGAAATCCAATACACTTGGCATTATTTACCATAAACATACAAAATTCATATGCTGGTTTTATTCAATATTAACCACTGGCAAATTAATATAAAGTAATGGTTTGTCACTGAATTTTTAAAGTTTTGGATTAAAACTTTTGAAAAAATTAATGTTTTGGGAGAGTACTCTTTATCAATAGAATATGTTTACAGATGTTTATTCACACACTAGGACAAAGAAGTTATTTTTGGATATTTTTTCTTATTCCATGATTACAACATGATAATTCCAAACCGTCCTCAACTATGCAAGTCTCTTCCCTCTCCAGTTCATTCTATGAAATCAAGTCTCCCCATTTCCTTTGTTTTAGTCCCACCCAGAGAAATCCATCCTCCCTATCTCAAACTGCCTTTATCTAAAAACTAATTTCAAAAGATCAAAAAATAGGTTAGGCTAGTCTCATAAATGTAGAGATACAAAATATAAGACTAACTTGTCTCCATGCTTTTATTCATGTTATTTTCCATACCTGCAGGGTTATCTAACCCTTTTTTCCAACATTTATCCAAATAGAAGCCGCAGATCATATCCTTCTAACCACTTCAGCACTCACCTATTCTCTACCTTCTTTGAATTCCTATAATACAAATTAATGGCCTTCAAAAGTTAACTATGGGGGTGCCTGGATGGTTCAGTCAGTTAAGCATCTGCCTTCAATTCAGGTCATAATCTCGGGGTCCTGAGATCAAGTCCCACATCAGCTCCCTGTTCAGCAGGGAGTCTGCTTCTCCCTCTCCCTCTGCCTACCTCTCTGTGTCAAATAAATACATAAAATCTTAAAAAAAAAAAAAAAGTTAACTATGTTTTCCTCTATCTACATTGGGAAGTAAGCTTCTTGAAGAGATATGTCATATCAATACCGAGTACACAGTTGGCATGCAATGAATACTTACTGAATCAATGGTGGCTCTGAATCTGTATCTTAGATTTTTGGCTTCCCAGCCTTCCTTTGCTTCCACAGTGCCATATACCAGAAATAAAATATATTATTTTGATTTTAATTTTACTAACAGATATTAGACTATCTTAAACCTAAATTTATTTTATTTTAAACTGCCAAGTCTGTCACCTTATTTTAGGACCATAAGAAAGAAAAGCTTAGGGACACCTAGGTGGCTCAGTCAGTGAAAGAGCTGCCCTCAGCTCAGGTGATGATCCGATGACCCTGGGATGGAGTCACACATTAGACTCCCTGCTGAGCAGGGAGCCTGCCTCTCCCTCTTCCTGCTGCTCCCCCTGCTTGTGCTCGCTCTCTTTCTCACAAATAAATAAATAAAATCTTAAAAAAAAAAAAATCTTAACTGTTAAAACACTGTAAAAGAAACCATTATTTGTGCAAAGTAAAAAAAAAAATTAAACTCTAAAATCGTATTAGAACTTTGACAATCATAATACTGTACACTTCTTCAGTGTATTGACATTCTTTGCCAAAATAGGACATAAAACCTAAGGAAAAACATTTTTTTCTTTTAAATTATTTTATTCAAGAAGGTGGGAAAGACAGACATGGGCTGAGCTGAACCCCTGAGTCTCTAAAAATATGGAACACTTCACCAATTTGCATGTCATCCTTGTGCAGGATCCATGCTAATCTTCTCTGTATCATTAACATAGGGGAAACTCTTAAAAGGTTAGTCAACTGGCCAGCTTTTTTTTTTTTTTTTTAAATAAAGATTTTATTTATTTCAGTAAGAGAGAAAGCACAAGTAGGGGAGTGGGAGAGGGAGAGGCAGATTCCCCTGCTAAGCAGGGAGCCCAATGCAGGACTCCATCCCAAGACCCTGGGATCGTGACCTGAGCCAAAGGCAGCCGCTTAACCACCTGAGCCACCCAGGCCAGATTTTCTAAACCTATCTTAAGAAAACAATTTTCTTTTTAAAAACAGTTCAATCCAAACAATATGGCACATGGCACTATTTAGGGATATATATGACAGGGAAAATAATCATTCTATGAAACTCCCATTCCATCCTCTTTGGGTAGATGTTAAGAAAGCTATTAGTTGATAAATACCTAGTCCCATCCTAATATGTGTTGAAAACCCAAAGTAACTCTCCCAGAGTAAAGGAAAAACATATAGCCAAGGAACATAACTGAACTCACAGGGGTGACTTCAGTTATTGTGGGGTAGGTTATTTCACACTTTCCAATTCAGCTTATCTGGTGACTGACTCTGTGTATGCTTGTTTTCAAGAAACAGACTTAAAGGCCATACTGAAAGTAAATTTTTGAAAGTAAGGCCAGGAATGAACTGAGTCAATGAATCAGAGCTAGAAGGGATTCTTAAAAATTTAAAGATGAGAAATGAGACTCTAATTAGGTCACACAGGTAGTTGGAAACAAAGGTTAGAACCAAGGCTTCTAACTTCTAGAAAAAGTATTTATTAAGTGCCTAATATGATGAAGAACTCTGCTAGGAGTTAGACCAGTGCCCACTCCTGCTTACCAAGATACTTTCCATGGATCTTCAAACACATTTAAAACATTAATTAAAGGGCGCCTGGGTGGCTCAGTGGTTAAAGCCTCTGCCTTCGGCTCAGGTCATGATCTCAGGGTCCTGGGATAGAGTCCCGCATCGGGCTCTCTGCTCAGCAGGGAGCCTGCCTCCTCCTCCTGTCTCTCTCTGCCTGCCTCTCTGGCTACTTGTGATCTGTCTGTCAAATAAATAAATAAAATCTTAAAAAAAATAAAATAAAAAAAAATAAAACATCAATTAAGGCTGGGGCACCTCGGTGGCTTAGTCGGTTGAACATCCACCTCTTGATTTTGGCTGGGGTCATAATCTCAGGGTCATGATCTCAGGGTTGTAGGATCCAGCCCCACATCAGGCTCCAGTTCTGTGGGGAGTATGCTTGAGTTTCTCTCCATCTGCCCACCCCCCCACCCCCACTGCATTCACATGCTTGCTTGCTCTCTCAAATAAATAAATCTCTAGAAAAAGTAGTCTAGGGGTGCCTGGGTGGCTCAATGGGTTAAGCCTCTGCCTTTAGCTCAGGTCATGATCTCAGGGTCCTGGGATCGAGCATCGGACTCTCTGCTCAGTGGGGATTCTGCTTCCCCCCCCCTTCTTTCTGCCTGCCTCTCTGCTTACTTATGATCTCTCTCTCTCTGTCAAATAAATAAAATCTTTAAAAAAAAAAAAAAGGAGAAAAAAAGAAAAAGTAGTCTACATTAAGGCTTACATTCTAAGGAAATTTCTGTATTAGGACAAGGCAGTGTCTACATCTCTAAAAAGCATGTTAAAATAAGGAGGTAAAGAAGGAAAAAAAAACTTTAAAGTAGTAAAGAACTTAAAATTTTGCACAAATTACCTTTCCTGTCCTGATTGTTGTTTATCATTAAAAAGAATAAGACCATCACGGGGCGCCCGGGTGGCTCAGTAGGTTAAAGCCTCTGCCTTCGGCTCAGGTCATGATCTCAGGGTCCTGGGATCGAGCCCCGCATCGGACTCTCTGCTCAGCAGGGAGCCTGCTTCCCTCTCTCTCTCTCTCTGCCTGCCTCTCTGCCTACTTGTGATCTCTCTCTCTGTAAATTAAATAAAATCTTAAAAAAAAAAAAAAAAAAGAAGAAGACCATCAAAAACATCTCTACCCAAATCTCATGACCCAATAGTTTAAGAAAAATGAGCCTTATTCCTGTTGGAAAAATGATCTGTTTTTGTCACATCACACTGAAGAATTAGCTCTGTCACAGGATTAGAGTACAGCCATCTGAAGACAAAAGTCTAGGCAGAAAATAAACAATACTGGAATTTGATAAAGACCACTCAGAAATATAGCATTTAGGTGTTTCAATGGCACCTTTCATCTAAAGATCTCAAAACAAATATTATTTACATTACCAAGAATCAAAACGGTGGCACCATGGCCCAATAAAGAAACATATCTATGACCCAGAGGGAATTCAATACTAATGTTCTGAAATTTAGACCTCTGTTCTAAAAAACAGTATCTCGTTACAGTTGACTCTTGAACAACGAGGGGGTTAGAGGTGCCAACAACCTGCAGAGTCAAAAATCTGCATATAACTTTGGACTCCTTAAGAACTTAACTACTAATAGCCTACTGTTGACTGGAAGTCTTACCAACAATATAAACTGTGATTAACACAACTTGTGTACGTTATATACATTATATACTGTATTCTTTTTTTTTTTTAAAGATTTTATTTATTTATTTGACAGACAGAGATCACAAGTAGGCAGAAAGGCAGGCGGGGGGGGGGGGGGGGAACAGGCTCCCTGCTGAGCAGAGAGCCCAATGCAGGGCTCTATCCCAGGACCCTGAGATCATGACCTGAGCTGAAGACAGAGGCTTAACCCACTGAGCCACCCAGGTGCCCCTATATACTGTATTCTCAAGACAAAGTAAGCTAGAGAAAAGGAAATACTAAGAAAATGATAAGAAAAAACACATTTATAGTACTATAATGTTTTTATCAAACACACACACAAAAAAAACCACCCATGTTTTCTGAGGGTCAACTGTGTTTGGATATTGTCCCTCATTCCAGGCAAAGAACTCCTAAAACCCTTGGAATTTCATGAGTGATAGGAGTGTGCCTTTTGTTATTCATAACAAGTCTTTCAACCACACTGCAGTTTATGCTAATGAGGTGACTTTTGGTGGACTCCTACATAGCTCAAGATGGGAACTGGTTGTCAGAGAGACAAACCACAGGATTTGAGGGTTAAAACTTTCAGGCCCCACCCCTCAATATGGGGAAAGGGAGAGGCTGGCAAATAAGTTAACTACCAATGCCGATGATTTATTTATTAACCCATCATTCCTAGGAAACAGAACCTTCTCAAAAACCCCTCAACAACAGGGTTTGAAGAGCTTCTGAATGAGTGAACATTCAGAGAGAGGGCAGAGATGCAGAGAGAGGGCAAGGAAGCTCCCCACACTTGCCCTACACATCTCCCCACCTGGCTGTTTCTGAATTGCATTCTTTATAATAAGCCTGTAAACACAGGTAAAGTGCTTTTCCCAAGTTCTGAGTCATCCCAGCAAATTACTGAATCTAAGGAGGGACCAGAATTTTTTACAAAGTTATAGAAGAAGTACAGGTGGCCCAGGACTTGCAATTGTTGTCTACAGTGGGGGCAGTCTTGTGGAACTGAGCCCTTTTAACTTGTAGGATCTGACTTTTAACTACAGGTACACAGTGTCAGAATTGAATTCAAATGTAGGACTAGTGTCACAGAATTGGAGAACTGGTTGTGGTGTGGAAAAACCCACACACAAGTAGTTAATTCCACTGTATATTTATAAAACTTAAACAAATGTATTTGTTGATACCATCTCCCAGTTTACCTTGCTGAACATGTATAAACAGAAGACCCCAAAAATTAAGTTCTGTTGTCAGAATAGTTGCTACTAATAATAATTTGTAATAATTACATGTCACGGGGCATCTGTGTGGCTCAGCTGGTCAACTGTCTGCCTCCGGCTCAGGCCCTGAGTGGGGCTCTCTGTTCAGCACCATATCTGTTTCTCCCTTTCACTCTCCCTCTGTGCTCTCTCTCTCTCAAATAAATAAATAAATACACAATAAATAACAAAATAAATAAAAGTGAAAACCTCTACTTAAAAAAAAATTTATATCATCTGAGGCGCCTGGCTGGATCAGTCAGTGGAGCATGTGACTCTTGATCTCAGAGCTGTCAGTCTGAGCCCCACATTGGTTGCAAAGATGACTTTAAAAAATAAAATCTTTAAAAAATAATAATTTCATGCCATTTTTATGCCAGGCATTAACCTTAGGGTAAATTATTTCCAGTATATACAACTCTGGAAGACAGATACTGCCCCCGAGAGCAGATGAGAAAATTAAATCTCATCATTAATTTTTCCATTGCACAGCAAGTAGCAGAGAACTAAATCTCTGTCTTCTTCTACACTATGGCAACCTTTACTTTCCATTATGTAGTATAAAATTATAAACTCTCTAACAATCCTTAAGAACATGTCCTAAATTATGCTCTTGAAACAATAATCTTAAGGCACAGGAAGGGGGTTGCCAGGTTTGAGGCTTTTGAGTAACAGCACAGGCCCCACACCTCTTGGTACCTAAATGGAGCAGCATCCTACTCATTCTATCGCAGAAAAGCCAGAGGAAAGTAATGCTGTGCCTCTTTGTGGAGCTATACCTTCCCCCAGCTTTATCAGTCTTCAAGCAAGTTTCTACCAGCCACTTTCCTGAACATCTGGACAACAAAGCTGCTCTCGGGAGCTGACCACAAGTCCAAGAAATTCCCAGGACTATAGAATGTTTGTATGCCAATCTCCAGTTTCAGACCCACACACAAGTAGTTACCACAGCTTGCCCAACAGAAAGCTATTTAGGAAAATTTATAAGCATCCATAACACAACTGGGACTCCTGGGAGGGAAAGCAAAGAACTCCTTTCCTACTTTTATCTCACAATCTACAGTTAAATCACCTACACCAATATAGCAAATGAACTGCAGAACAAGAAAACAAAACAAAAGCAAAAGCAAAACAAAACAGGAAAGGGAAAGAGGAAGGGAAGGCAAGGGGAGGGGAGAGGAAGGAAGGGAGACAGGCAGACAGGCCAGCAGGCAGGCAGGCAGACAGACTAGCCTTAAGAAATGCTGTAAAGGGGCACCTGGGTGGCT